TGGCAATGTACGTGGTAATTAGTTACTCTTTGAATTATCAGATAATTTGGAATATTATTACAGAATAATTTTCAAGAGCATCTAATTACTGTGGGTCTAATCCTGCTAGCATTTTGCATGCAGAACTCCTGTAGAAGTTTGACACCTTGGAATACAGATTGATTTTTGGAACTGGGATCATATAATATTTATACATTGGTTACATGATTATATGCACGCTTTAGGAATAAAAACATAGCACTTTATTTTAAACAAAAATGATTTAATTACTGATCCATAATATTTGCATCAATGTTCTGAAGAAAGTGTAGGATAACTTAAGGTTTGGACTGTTTGACTAATAGCAAAAATAAAAGGTGGACATTTAATAACATTAAAAACTTTATTTTTCATGTGAATTTTAAAGTTTTGAACTATTTCACCTCGCTCTATTCATGTTAAATAAACTTCCAGCGAGGGAGATTTCTAAATATTAAATATTCATGAGCCCTGTGCAGCAGCATACATTTTGTCTCCATAGGTTTCAAATATGGAGATTTTTGTGGTCTTTCTGCAGCTTTCTGTAGAAAATACCCAATTATGGTCTCATGTTGATGGAATTGCTGACACAGGCACAACGGCTGAGCGGCAGCTACAAAAGAGTCTTGAGATCTTTAAGTAGCAACATCCTCTAAAATACTAAATTAGAAAAATAAGTGATCAGAATCGTATACCCCTCGGTTTTCCTGTGTGCGACAAAGTGTGAAGATACTTACAGAAAAGAACAGGCTGTAAAATAGAGATTTAAATTTGCCATCTAATTAGCCATCATGACATAGGGTGTCTGTCAACAGTACAACATAATGCCAGGTTAATAGAATTTGAGTTAGGAGACCCTGGGTTTGAGCCCCTACAAATTTGTAACCCTAGATTAGGAATTGTTGAACCCTTGGTCCCAGCCTGGGGCTCCAGCATCTACCCTGCATTAGGTGAGTCCCAGTCCAACCACCCATATCCCAGACTTCTTAGGATCCTCACAAAATGTGGCTGCTCTAGCCCTTTGTTCATGTTGCAGTGTGGGAAAACTTGACTGTCCACTAAACCTTACTGTCCAGAGGACAAAACATTGATCCATGGGATTGGGGGATACTTCTAGGCAGACTTCCAGAGCACAAGTCCAATGGGGCTGCATCTACACTGCAAAGGACTATGGTTTGAACCCTGGGTCCTGGCTTGGATCCTCTACCCCTGTGGGGTCCTGGGACCATAGGTCTTAACCCTGGGTTAGCATGATTTTTGTGTAGAGAGAAGGGGGCGGGGAGGGGGTTAGTTTTGAGCCTGAGTTCAAACCCTGGTCTTACACTGCAGTGTAGGCTTACCCAGAGCCCAGTGAAGTGAGTAGGAAGTCTTTCCATTGACTTCAACGGGCAATCAGGTCCATGCAGTATAGATATGTCAAATTCTGCTGTTTTTATACCAGTGTAATTCTAAAGTACAACTTCACTGAAACCAGCGGATGTATGTCTCTCTTACCCTGGTATGAATGAGAACAGAATTTCTCTCTGCAGTGATATTTGAAGGGAATGGGAATTGCATGATATATACCAGAGATTGGCAACCTTCAGCATTCAGTAATCCCCCTGGCGGGCCGGGCCAGTTTGTTTTCCTGTCCCATTCGCAGGTTCGGCCGATTGCGGCTCCTACTGGCCACAGTTCGCCGCTCCAGGCCAATGGGGGCGGCAGGAAGTGGCGCGGGATGAGGGATGTGCTGGCCGCCACTTCCTGCCGCCCCCATTGGCCTGGAGCAGCAAACCGCGGCCACTGGGAGTCGCGATTGGCCGAACCTGCGGACGCAGCAGGTAAACAAACCAGCCCAGCCCTCCAGGGTGCTTACCCTGGTGAGCCACGTGCCAAAGGTTGCCGATCCCTGATATATACATTTGGTACTTTCCTGATATAACCTTAATTTTGCAGATATTTCAATCAGCTTTATAAATTCCCTTTAACACTAAGATGTTTGAAAATTAAAAATATATATGGTAAGCAATTAAATAACCCTAAATACTGTAGTATGACAGTACTTTGTCAGCATTACACTGCTGTAATTTGGACTCATTTGTGTTATCTTTTAGCAAAAGTAACCGCCATAGAATAAACAATGTGTCAAAAAACTTCATTTGAGAATGCTGATATATCTCTTTACAACCTTTAATCACACGTCGGCATATGATATACACATGGTTCTGTCAGGAATTTCCCTAGGTTTTTGACAGCTCTTTAGAACTATTTCTGGCTGATTCCTCTGACAAAACTGTTCTGAGGAGTGGGGTATCATCTGTAATCTTACTGTCCGTTTTTAGTGTGGTATGAAAATGTTGCTTGCCTACTCAAGGTCTGTGAGGTCTGATTATTTTTTAATACAAGAAAGAAGGCTCCGTCAGCAGCTCAGCAGCTCCAGATAAGGCTAAATCAATCCATTAAGATGTGCATTTGTGAACATTCAATTATACAGCCAGAATAGAATAGGTTTACTGAAATAATTGCTAATGTAACTCTTTCCTTCTTTCCATTAAACTCAGTTTAGTTTTGAAAATTAGTGTAAGTGGAGTTTTTGTATGCATTGTGTATAGAAACAGTTGAGACCCAGCTGGCTTTTTCTTAACACAATACACTTTTTTCAGTGAAATAATCCTAGAACCTTTAATTTCAGAAGGCATTGGGTATCCCTGAGTTAAAGTCCTACCATAACAAATCTAAAAATCTGTACCTGTGGGGGTTTTGTCTATGACCATTTCTAACCATGAGGCATCCAGGCTCCACAGAAGCTATGCTTTTTAACAGAAGAGCCAATTACATTTCTGTTAACATTTATAGAAACAACATGTGGCACTTGTATCTTCTGCCACTACCAAGCAAAACAATCTAGTTCTAGGGAGCGTCCTATCTTCTCCTATACTAGGAGATGTAATAGTGTAGCAGGCTCCTTTAAATTTGGAATTAGTGGGGTTTATGGGGAAATCTGAGTCTGGACCCTGACTTTCACTGACATGACATCAGCAGTCTTCTTCTTAATTCTCTTCTGTTTATAAACCATCTGGAACATTCACAAAACATAGAAGGCCACATTCTCCACTGGTTTAAATGGGCCTTTTATGCCGCAGATTATTTGACTCAGTTTATTCAGCAAATTAATTACTTATAGCATATTTATATAAATACAGTTTAACTAAAATGTGGATTCAAAACAATGCATGATCATTTAGTCCCCAATCCTACAGAAACTTATATGCCTAGCCTGATGCACTTTGGGTAGTTCAATGGAACTACTCAGTGTGTAATGTTGAGTATGTGCATACGTCTTTGCAGTGTCAGGGTCTTGTTGCCCACATGTAATATCTAAATAAAACTGCTTGTGCTTCCCTGCTACTTCCAATCCTTACCTAAATTATGTCAATTGTAGCTTTCTACAGTTCTACCTATTATTGCATTTTGAAGCCAGTCTCCTTGCTAGGAGCAGTTAGACTCCTATTTTGTTATCAGCTGGGTACAATTAGAGTTACATTAATCAGCTGTGTTTGTTCAACTGAGTTCAGATTTCCTTTTGATTGCTGTAGGCATGATTTGAATTTTATCACCACAAGTCAATTCTTTAGACAAAATTTCTGACCTTAAATAACCCAAACTGTCACATACCACACTTTTCTAACAGTATAGAACCACATTATGAATTATAGACAGGGCTTATTGTCTTTGGGTTTCTATTTCTGCTCATTTTAATGTTTGTCTTTTGTATTTTCATAGAAACTTCTGTTTTTATAAGTTTATTGTAATGGTGATTGACAGGAATTGACAGTTATTTCATAAATACTGAAATAAGCACAACTTAAAAAAATAGCTAAGCACTTTTAAAGCCTCATTTATTGTTTGCATTCTACATGCAAGATAATACTACATATTATCTAGACAATACTCACTCCTGCCATGAGTGCAGGGACTGGACTAGATGACCTCTCAAGCTCCCTTCCAATCCTACACTTCTATGATTAAATGCATACAATGGGCTAAATTCAGAAATCTGGTGTAAGGTAGGATCCCTTAGAGACAGTAATTATCATACAACTGGTATCTGAATTGGTGTAACTTGCATGCTGAGAAGATAGAAGAAGGTGTAAGTTAACGTAGGATGGGAACAACCCACTTAAAGTAGCCCTACCTTATTTAAAGCTTGGCTTCTAGCCATGTAACCTATATCAGCACTGATGCTCTTAGTCATCAGTGGAGTGAGGTAAGTAGTGGCTTTAAGGTGGCCTGTTAATGAACCAAATCACATCTCAATTTAGCCCCCTGAGTCTGAGGGAGCCTAAGACCTCGTTTACATGAGAGACCTGCACCAGCTTACCTAAATGTGATTTTAAACCAATTTAGTTAAACCAGTGCAAAAGGCTATCTTATGTGGGTTTAAAACATGGTTAGTTTAAGTCAATTATGAATCAGTTAAATCTAAACAAAACGAGGTGGGAGGGATTGCTCTGGCTGAACAAAATCAGTTTAAATAACTGATTTTTTTTAGTTAAACTAGTGCAACTTTCTTGTGTAGACAAGACCTAAGTCTCGAAGGAGTTTCCTGGGGTAGCCAAGTACATGGGGGAAGGCGGTGTAGTTTATATGAAGAGGGGACTGGAGGAAAATTGTAAGCTAAATCAGTTTGGATGCCTTATAGCCTAGTTTCTGAATCTGGGCCATTGTGTAACCACAAAAAATCTGTTTTCCATGCTGGTACTGAGATAAACAGAGATTATAAAGAGAAACTGACCGGGCTATAATTTACAGCAGGGAGTACATATGCAGCAAGCATAATAGAAAGGAACCTTGCCAGTTCTTCAAAATGTATGAGCTGTTTTGTTTGTTAGTTTTTTGGTTTTAATCAAAGATGGGTATCTGTAATTATGAAAAAGTTTAACATGATGAGCTGTGTCCTCCAGAGGGTGGTATTAAATGCTGCCTTTTGTTTTCTTCCACAGTAAAACCAACAGTTATTGATGTTGACATTTATGTTAACAGCATTGGCCCAGTGTCATCAATAAATATGGTAAGTGTCTTGCTAACAATGATTTTATCTGGACTGCTTGTCTTGGCATCAATACTTGCTGTTGAAGGGGGGGGAGAGAAATGTCACTAGGATAAGATGTTTTGATTGAAAGCAGTAAGAAATAAGTCAGCCGACATAGTTCTACTTTTTAGACATAGTTCTACTTTTGTGCCTTTCCGAGGAGAAATAAACCAACTCAGCAGTATCATGCTGAGTGCTGCCTGTCATAAAATGCTGTTATATCTTGAATGATAAAAGTATGATGTTCAGAAAGACACATATGAAACAAGCCTGTTTCCAGGAAAATGTTGCAAGTGATGCTTAAATAATATCGTTTAGGAATACAGGAAATTAAAATTAAATAGAAACATGTCTATGTAAAATTAATGTTCATCTTAAAAATAAGCCAGGTATTCACAATATGTCCCTGTATAGAAATATATATGTAAGATTTGGCTTTAAGTGTTGAGTTAACTCTGGATCAAAATCAGTATTAACTCTATCAGTGCATTTATTTACATGAGTTTATCAGATCTACAATGTTGTATTATAAATCAATGAGAGAATAGTGTCCTTCATTTTTCCCCTTGAGCTTTCGGAAAAAAAGGTCATCTTTAGTTGTACTGTGTGCATGAGCCAGGGAACGCAGAACTCTCAGAAGGCATGTGAGACACTGCTCGTGTGTCTGATACCACTGGTTTATGCTGGACCCAATCTAATCATAGAAGTAAAACTCTCTTCTAGCTCACTGTTAACAGACGGTTTAACATACAGGAAAGGGCTCAGTTTTTGCAGTGACAAATACTATAAATTGTGCTTCTTTATCTTGATGTTGACATAGTTACATAGGCTTGGATTGTTTTTGTGGCACAACTTTTGGCTTCAATTCATGGATTCCAAACACTCTATGTTGTGTGGAGGGATGAATTTTGTCCTAATGTGGTTCAGAAATGGGGGCAGGAATTGGGGGAAAGGAGGTTTGCTAATATTTTGATCTGCTCACATCTAAAATCTCCTACTTAAATTCTTCAGGGCAGACACTTGGAATTCCATTGTGTGTGTTCAAAACCTAGCCAACGACACAAATTTGATTGCGCTCTGTGTGGTGCAACTGTAATATAAATATTAAACAATAAGTGTAATTGTTCTTTTAGCTTACTGGGGAGGGGGGCTGAGTTTTGAAACCATTGTTCTGAGTTTGAATGCCAATGCCTTTTTTCAACGGCTTGTTAATGTATATTTAAAAAAAATCCAAACACGAGACTCTGTGCAAATGGGAGATTTGGCAAGTGAAGATGGAACAAATAATCAGTACTTGGAACATCTCATAGTGTCACACTCTGCGAGAGAGTGAAACATTTGGTTATATTTCTTCAGTTGAAGCACAGAATGTGAAACAATGGAGGCATCTGTGTTATTCTTAAATTGATAATTATCTTTCCTCCAACTACAATTCAGAGGAATGTGTCTACAGGAGGATCTCCTCTGCATGCATTCCTCTGGCTCACATTACTGCAGTATGTGTCTTGTGTGTGCCCTGCACAAGGGGAATGAGAAAAGTGAACAACTGACTTATTAGGTTGGAAAGGTTTATTTAGTTCCTTTTCCTTGCTCTGAGCTGCTGGAGATGTAGATGTATCTTCTGTCACAAAATACTTGGATTAACAAAATTTTATAGGAACTGCCCAAACTAAGGGGATGAAAAAAAAAACACTTCAAGTGAGCCAGCAGTACTTGGAAGTCAATTTATGCTACAGTATAACCACACCTGGCTTACTTATGCTTTAAGCCCAAGTTCCGAGTACCTCATGAAATTCTGGTGAGGAAATACATTAAGAAGTCAGTTATTTTTAAAAAAATCCCCAAATGTGGCTGTGTAATATTTGGAGTGTGGCTGGCATGTTGATATTTATGAAGTAGGTTGTTTTCATGTAACGATACAGAGTTACAGACAACATAGCCTTGCTACATGTGGTAAGTATTCCATCTATATAAAATACAGTAGAGCAATAAGTAAAAACACTGAAAGCTATGTTCAGTAGAGCAAGAAGATGACTGAGCTTGTATTGTGGGGTAAATAGATAAGGTTTGAGGAGAAGACCAACTCAGGAAAAGCACCATTCTTGTCATCATGAGCACACACCTCCAGCTCTTCCCTTAGTTCTCAGCCTGACAGTGGCTTCCAGCCCTCCATCACACAGCTGTCAAGTTAGTAAATACTGAGCTACTCTGTAAAGGTAACTGCCAAACAGTTTCTTATTGGGCAAAGAAAATCAGGTTAAATTAGATTCCATCCGCCTCAGTATCTCAAGCATGAGCTCACCAACAGGTGGTGGGAAGGAGTTAACCTGCTTTTGTCTTCCAACCATAACTCTTAGTTGCTTTTTATTTAACCTGCACCACTCTGAGGTTAAATTGTATATTGCTCTCCTAGAGCTCAAATGCCACTCATGTGTATATCAAGTTTCATCCGTGATTTAATCCTGTAGATAAAATCTAGGGGGTAAAACCCTCTTCCTTAAACTACAAAGCAATCTGAGCAATGGGTGTTCAATTGAATATTTGAGCAAATTTTGTAGATCAAGTTTTGTTAGAAGTACATACCTTTGTCCTGCTTATGATCAAACCTTAATATAAATGCAAATTCCCTTTTCACTCACATGGAGAAAAAAATGAGGAAACAGCTGACAAAACATGACTACTACAGAGACAGTATGAAATGAATTTAATGTGAATACCTGCGTCCATGATAGGAAAGCGAATCTATTCAACCCAGGGCTGAAGTCCTATTAGATCTCTGAAGGGGAGGAAATATCACTGGGGATCCCCTTAAGGAATCTTCCCTGGGGGCGGAGTTTGTCCTCTGACTCTGGAGGATACCCAGAGACACACCTGGATGTGTCAGGAGGTCAGGGCCACCTGCATGGAGGCTTTGTGCCCCCAGCAGCTCAATCCCAAACCTTCATTCACTGCACTACCAATGCTTCCCCAACTGGTCCCAGGATCTCCATTAAAGGATCTGAGGATTCCCACAATGGAAGGGGCCATGGTGAAAAGGTAATACAGCTCCAGGCTGTGCTCCTTTCTTAAATCTTCATGAGGGGTGATCATCCCTCTGGCTCTACCACCATTAAAATGGGGCTGGTCCTCCTCTGCCCACAGAGCATGGATTAGAGGTTGGGGACTAAGCAAAAGAGCTCATCTACATTTCCTGCCCATAACATGAACTAACAAAGCTGAAGCTTTAGAAAATTTCTGACTGCAATCCTGCATTTTTGGAACTACTTAACTCAGTGTAGGCATGAAACCAACCAGCAAGATCCATTTTTATATATTACCCCTTTACTGTGAGCTATAAACCATCTAGGTAGGCTTGGAATGGGTAGGGGTTAACTATGTAATTAGTGGTCTGATGGGTGCCCCCAAACTCCTGGGTAGTAGTTTATCTCTAGTGGAACTTGAGTAACCTATCACAATCCTATCCAGTCCTGAAAATGTTCAAGGAGTTTCTTACTGCAGGAAGTCTAAACTAGTATGATATTAAACTGGGCCAGTAGCTAACTTTCTATTTTGTGCTGCAGTTGAGTAGTCTACTGTATTTATTGCATCTGCATGTAATACAGCCAAAAAGCAGCTCCCACAACTGTCATTTAAATAGTCAGCAAGGTTGATGTATTTTGGCTGAAACTGAGAGTGCAATGGTGGGAAGGTAGCCTTCCCTTTCTTTGTGCCCTTGCACAGGAGGAAAGCAGTATTGCACACTACTGCAGTCCTTGTGCTCTCCTGACTGTAAGGTTGCTCCAGGCTAGTGCCAAGAGCAGCAGTAGCCTCCCTAAAAGAAAGTTTTTGGGGGTCAGCTACAGGCCAAGTCTTTCTGTTTGTCTACTAATCCCCAACTATTCTCCCATGGGTCTGTCAACATGGCTTCTATTTTATAGATACAGATGTGTGTGTAATATATAAAATATGGACCATATAAAAAGAGGGCCTCTGTTGGTGCCTGATCTTGGACCTCTGTCTCCTGCTCTTAAAATACAAAGGAAGAGGTTCCACTCAGGGGTTACTACGACTTCAAGCTGTAGTGAGTGGAGTCCTCGCAGAGTTGAGAGGACAATGACCACCTTCCCACTTGCAGCTCATTGGCCCTACAGAGGGTCCTAGCAGATCTGGGTCAGTGCCATAGAGGTGACTTCCCCCATTCTATGAAGGCAGTGGGATCTGTGTGTCCAGGGCCCCTCAGCAAGAGGGATCTTTGGGGTGCAATCTGGGCAGAGCTAATATTAAATAGCAGAGGAATTACTGAGCACAGTCAAAACAGAAAGGAGAAGTTGAGGATAGATGGAAAAGCAATCCAATGGAGTGATGCAGAAAGTTTGTCCCAGGTGGCATTAGCTTCAAAAAAGAATTTTTCCAGCAGTAGAAGGCTTATGTAAAGTGACAGTAGTAACTAGTGCTATACAAAAGTACTTTGAAATGTAGAATCTCCACACCCATCTAAAATCTTCAGGGCAGCATTTTTTTAAAAAAAGTCAATTTTATAAATAAGTCATACTGGGAAAAAAGGAACATGAACTGTGATTGTTAAAAGATATATCAGTTGGCTCCCTAAGGAATTGCCACAAGGCATTTAATATAAAACCACATTAGAACTTTCCATGTGATTATTATATCCCTTTAACTTTATTATCCTATCTTTTTATACAGGTAAGTTACAGAAACCTATCACTGACCACTTAATGATGAAATGTCATTAGAGGTTCTGACTTGTGAGATGTGGTATTAATGTCTCACAGGAACTTATTCAACTTTTACTGTTATTTAAGAGCATTGCTATGTCTTAATAAAAAGAATGAGTTTAGAAGACCCCCCTCCTAGTGAAGCAAGCTAACTTTCATTAACATTAGGACCATTCCTGTTGGTTTTTTAAAAAATATTTCCTTTATGTTTGATGTTTCAAAATATAGTTTTCAAATTCCACATCACAGTTTTAGTCAGTTTTA